TCCGGCGAAGTAGAGAATATTCGGCTGTTTCGCCGGAGCATTTTCCCGCCGGACTGGCTGTTTCGCCGAACCAGAGAAGTGTGGCCATCCCCATGCCTTCCTGTGTATCTCAACTTTCTCCGGCTCCGCTGGATACGGCGTCCGGCGGTTTCGTGTGTAAGTGTGTCCCTGGCCTAACTGACTTCGCAGGATTGTACTGGCAACATTCTGCTTCTGATCCACAGGCCATTTAAAATTTGTATTGTAACTTCTGATAAAGTCTGATCTCAGATGATCATTTCTACATTCTATGCTGAATAATGTTTTATTAACCCATAGGCCTAGAATTATTTGTGAGAGCTACTACCTACACAAATCTAATCCCACTTTATCATTTTGATGTTCCATAGGCTATAAACACTGTCAAATTCATACTGTATGTTAATGTGTATAGCACGATAACTTATTACATGTATGCACAGAGAAGTAAGATACAGAGATACAAGCTTATGGGGCAACCGTGCGCTTTTAGCTCTAGTATGGTGGGGTGGAAATGTACCTGTACCGAGCAAGGAAGACACCGCACGGCGATGGCCTCAATAGCATTTTTGTTCAGCTGTTGTAGGGCACAGGTCTTCCTACAGTGCACACGCTATAGTTTGTGATGGCGAGAAGGGAAAGGAGAGCGGGTGGGTACGATGAATAGAATTTGCGCTAGACACTAGCGACTGGTGCAAGACATCACTTAGTGTACCATTGAATGAATCCTCTGCATTTACTTCTCTGTGGGTTTATTTTAAGTTCGAGAACCAGCATGAGTTGTGGTTTATGGCGTAAAAATAGGTTTTTTAATTTTGACTCAAAATATAAAATGTCTCAGTTTCTTTTCAAACTATTTTTTTTTTTTATAAAAACACCAATAGGCTAATTTAGTATACTAATGCGCCATGGACTGAGAAAATTCATAAAAACAAATCCCCATGTTAATCTTACGGTATGGAATATAAATAAAACAGTAGTTGTAGTTTACTTGCTTATATGAATATAATATGTTCATCAAACTTGGTAAATTCATGACATTCCTTTTATCACCAAACCTAAATACTCACTAAAACTAACTTTGTTTAAATGGTGAATAAATTAACATGTTTAAGTGGATATTTTAGTGGAAATCTGATCATGCAAATAGAAATTCTCTTAGTAAGCAGTGGCAGGGGTAGTAAAAATTTAATTTGTTTCTTAAAACCTATAAGGATTTGTGGAGACTGAGTGATTCTTGAAACATTATTCTGCTTCTGTGATTCTTTTAAGATTGTCAAAAATTACAATATTGCTTTACCGATTGATTTTTTATATCCTAGCATATGCAACTATTAAAACCTATGCGGTTAAGCTTATTTTCTTTGTATTGAATTGAAAACGATCAGTAGGTTTACTGTAGGGTACTGGGTCTAGATCTGCTATATACTTTCTTAAACATCTTTAAATATTATACTTACAAAATTAATAAATTCTGTTAATCATGCAAACTGGAAGCTTTGTTCTCAGTAGGCCGAGCTGCTCAAATAATGCTACATTTTTAATGCAATTAAAGGGCACTTTCCTGTTAAAAGGAACATTTATTATTATCATCGATGATTTTTCGATGTATCGATATTTTTGTTTTCCTTTGTAAACGATCCATTACAAATTGCCAACTGATCTTGTTTAGGCTAAAATATAGTCTATTATATGGATTAAGGAATGAAACTGTTCTAAGCTAACCTAACATAACCAACCAAACTTCCGCTTTATAACAGAAAAGGTAAGTTAAACGGAATTTTTAAATGTTACAGCGAGTTTGGTTAGTTATGTTCACAGAGCATAGAATAAATATAGAGTCGCCACTCCTAAACCTACAGCTATACCAGTAGTGAAGCCGATTTCCGCCATCTTGGTAAGAGAGTCGGGCTTGGAACTTTGAAAACACGGCGTCATCACCACTGTGTTATTCTATGCTACTTTATGAATTAGGTGAAGCTACCACTCCGAGGATACATATAGAACTACCCCCCCCCCCCCCCCTCTTCGATATTGATCTGGGACTCTGCCCTGCGGGCTTTCAAAGTTCTGAGGTGAAAGTTTTAAAAGTAAATATTGATTGGTGGTTTCCATGGTAACAATATAATACTAATAAGGTTTAAATTACCTGGCTTCTGTCATCGATCCTCGGTAGTTTTATGAAACTACAGCTGTTTCATGCCTATCACTGGCACATCTTCAGGTTTGTTGAACGCCAGCTTCTCTATAAAACATCCCTCGGTCTTGAGTTTGTCATGGTTACACAAAAAACATGTAGACATTTACACACACGAAAACACGCACAAAACATTTAAACATTAATTAGAATTTAAACATTAACATTAACATAAACGCTGCCGACACGTGACAGTCGCGACTTATCCATCACCGGCGCCGCATCACGTTTCGCAGTCGTTCTTGAATTAATGTTTAAATGTTTCGTGCGTGTTTTCGTGTGTGTAAATGTCTACATGTTTTTTGTGTAACCATGACGAACTCAACACCGAGGGATGTTTTATAAAGAAGCTGGCGTTCAACAAACCTGAAGATGTGCCAGTGATAGGCATGAAACAGCTGTAGTTTCATAAAACTACAGAGGATCGATGACAGAAGCCAGGTAATTTAAACCTTATTAGTGCTAATTTTAACGACAGAGGCCAACCATCATGAAACAATATAATATAATGGTTTAAATGTAAATGCAGACCAGGCCGGCCGCCATCTTGGTACAAGAAGCCTGCTTCCCCCAGACAACAATGTGCCGCCTCTATATTTATTCTATGCTCTGTGGTTATGTGAGGTTAGTTTAGAACAGTTTTTTTTCAATATTTTTTAAAACTATTGTTTGTTAATACTGAACATTATTTATTCATCGTAGTTGTCAGCTGATATGTTTCAATTCGTTAATTCAGCATCGATATATCGAGAAAAAAAATCATCGATAACAATGAATGTTCCCTTTTAACAGGAAAGTACCCAATGAAGTTTGTGAGAGAATGAGAATGAGTGAGTTTAGCAAAATAGAAGCTAAGTTTATTTAGTTTATATCAACGAGGTTAGCCGACTGGCACATTTTCAAGAGTAAAAAATGCAAAAATTAAAGTAGCCTAATTATAAAATATGACGTCAAATGTTACATGATAGTAAAATCATCGGTTCCAACCAAATTCCCGTGATTCTTACCTAGTTGTTCAAGCTATATCTTGGATACAGTTATAGATTTTCCCCATTCTGGGAAACTGCCACTGACACAGCCTACAACCATTGACTTTAGGATACTGAACTATAGTCGAATAGATTACAGAATAGGACTGGCCTTTGAAGAGGTAGGGGATGCGACATTGCCTCGTCGTTTTTCTCTGGTGAGCCCACCCCCCTAGAGCCTGGCACCCCCCTGACTCTTATCTTCCCATTTGTAGGGTAGTTCAACACTACAAATTAATAGTTTATTTTTTTCTTGGTAGTATCGGTTAGTGTTGTTTTATTTTTATATCAAATGGAAGATACATTCATCCCATACATCATTATGGTTTGATTATTTGCATCACAGTTATCTTTAAATTGGCTCAAACAACTACCAGATGCAGTTTTTGAAAAATATACAAACATAAAATTAATAAATTAGGTACACTGTAACAATAACAGTAAATTTATATTGCCAAACAATTTTTATAACAGTTCTAAAAATCAACTAAAACATTGCCCAACTTATCGTTTGATACATGAAACAAAATTAACATGGAAATGAAGAGGATAAAAAAATCTTCCATATTAATTATTAATCTGAGATGGGGACGCCACCTATGAGCGTATTTTAACACGTTCAGTGCGGCAGGCATTCCAACAGGCGCTCGCCAATGGCGGCGAGGCCCGGGCGAAGCCCCGGCGTGGTACCGTAACAGCGAACGCAATTGGCATTTAAATATTTCAATCTGACGAATAACAAAAGAGCAGCCCCGGCGATTGTACTTAGTTAACCCGAGATTGGACGTAGTTCCCTAAAACACCCAAAGGTAGCAGCACTGCCTGGATCAGTAATCAGTGGCTTTGTAATATGACTTAAAGAGAGAAAATCCCCGAAACCGGGACCAGTACCAGTAAGCATTGATAGATGGGATTTTACAGGAAATTTTAGTACCAAACATAAAACCTACATAAAAATAAAGCTCACATTTTAAGCTACAAGCTAGCAAGGATTTTAACGTTCCCCGGCAATAACTGAGCTCATACTGAACTAATGTAGTGGGGGTTGCGCAACTACATCAATTGATGTAGTCAGCACTGAACGTGTTAACCCAAATATGAGTGTAGAATGGAGTGAGATGCCTTGTGTAGGTATGTTACTGGCCTGTTTCGAATTATAAGCACACTTTAAGGCAATTTCTTGAGAAAAGAGGATATACTCTAAACGCACAGGCCGGCTGTCGGGCAAAAACTGAGTGCATGGCACAACTTGGCATCAGTGGACAGTTTTCTGAAAGCTGATTGGATGCCGCTTGTCCTCACCCTACCCGACTTGAACTGGTTTCGGTCCTATTCTGTAATCTATTGGTTAGATATCCCATCTATTCTATATGAACCAGCTGTAGCATATTTTTATTCACGAAGAACTTAGTTGAATGATATTCATTTGTTAAATCTGTTTAATCATTTGTTTTCCCATTAATGGCTTTTATTATAGGGTAGGTCTATCTTTGTTAACCGCAGTGAATATAGCTAGGTTAGTTTATGGTATAATAATGATTGTACAATACCTTCAGAATGAAATTATTATGAGAAAACACTTGTTTTATTGTAACACGAAATATTTGTGCAACAAACTTTACAATTTGAGCTGGGCTATTTCATAACTTTTAGATTAGTTACCATAATATAGCCTAGGCCCGAGGTATGACTATTTAAAATACAATCTTTGTAATTTCAATAAAAATTGATATTTTTAAAATTCTAAAATTGCAAGTTTTTTTATCACTTAGATTGAACAAAATGATCTAGTCAATGTTGTGAGGACTACATTATTAGTAAATTACTAGTAAACATCATAAACTAATTCTGCATTTTCTACCTCAACTGGTTGGCCTACATCCATGGATCTTGGTAACATTTCACTGTAATCATATTTGGCTTGGCTTAAGTAATAAGCTTGTTTTGCACCTCCTTTTGCTAGAACTTCTTCTGAATTGCAATGAGCTAAGACTTCAGTTGTAGTTCCATCAAAAAGTGAGGAAACAGCGTGTTTAAGACTAGGTACGTTTACACCTCCACCACATAGGACCACTTTGTCAATTGATCCGTTTAATTCAAACTCTTTAATAAATACTCTCAGTGGTTCTATACATCTTTCCAGGGTTGGCTTGATTATCAATTCAAACCGTGCTCGTGACAAGTTAACAGATAAATCTAACCCTTCATGTAGTGATTCTATCAAACAGGTCACTGTCGGTAGATTGGACAAAATGTTAACACAATTCTTTGCTTCAAGTTTGAGTTTTTCAAAAGATCTTCTTCTCTCCCTTGGATCAAGCTTGTACTTCTTGACAAATTGGTCAGCCAAGTAGTTTGCAAGCACGTCGGTAAAAAGATTTCCACCGATGTCTTCTTTGTATGTTGAACCAATAATTGTTACCATCCCTTTGGAAATTTCACTACCTGTTATTTCACAAGTAGTTCCCCCCAGACGGTAAACTATGATAGTTTCACTGAGCTTGTCTTCGTAATCCAATAGTGAGTAGGCAAGAACAGCTGCAGATGCTTCATTAATCACCTGTATTACTTTCCACCCTGCTTCTTCTGCCGCAGTTTTGTAATTTTTGCAGTATTCTTCTGGGAAACTTTCTGGCATCAACAGCACACAATTAAAACAATCATTCTTTACACCCAAAGCACTTTTTGCTGAGGCCAACAACTGTTTTAAAATTAACACCATGATGTCTTGTGGTGTTACATATTGTATGTTTCCCTTTTGAGGGATGCAATAACTGAATATATTATTTTCCATTCGAGTTTCAACTTGATTGTGGAAAGTATCACCATTCAGATTCTGACTGGCCATTGCAGATTTATTGTGTGTGATTGTTTTAGACATATCTTTTTGGGCTGTATCTCCAAATGTAATAATACCTTCATCTGTAAAAGTCACTATAGTGGATGTCTGTCTATCTCCACTTTCATTGGTTATTAGTGATACTTCCCCATTCTCTTTACAATAAGCGATTGAAGCATTTGTATTACCGATATGTATACCAAACATTATGTCTTTGTACGCTCACCAAAAGTTAAGTTTCAATAGAAATGTTTATAGACAAATTCTTCATTTGTAAATGGTTGCAGGTTAAGAATTGAATGAAGTTTTGTTTGTAAACAATGCCTGGTATTCACATTTAAGACCAGCTGATTGCTTGTTTCAAAACAAGTTGATTTTGTTTTAAATTTTATTGTGCTATCTTACATTTATCTTTTGCTCACTACAGTTGTTTTGTGCCAGTGGCCAATACAATTTACACAGTATGATTAAATATTATTTTTTAAACTATCCAAACCAGGCCTTTGATTATTTATCAGTCCTATCAAATAAAAGAAAATTAAATAATATTATAAATTTTTATTATATAGCCCAGTTAATTTCTTTGAAACTAAATTGAACAAGCAATTAATAAGTAAATTAATTCTATTCATAAAAGATTGTTTGTATAAAAAAATTATAATATTGTCTTTAAATACTTTAAATACTTTTATATGAAATGGCGACCATACACAGTAGGTATTTTAAGCCAAGTATGAATGGAGATGAGTGTAGGATGAGTCCTTTAAAGGTCTAGTTTTAACCCAATGGTGTACTGTCATAGTTGGGAGCTTGGGGCGGCTTAGATAAGGGGCCATTTTTATATATACACACACATATTATAATTTCTTAAGTACTTTTTTTGTCGGTACACCATAACCTTCTTAATTCTTTACCAATTTTCATAAATGAGGTGTCAATTTAAAGCTCCTTTTACCCGCTACATCAGGGAAGTATACAAATCACTCATGTTTCAGTAGTTTTTTTGTAAAAACTATCTATTATATCATTCTGCAAGTAATTTAAACTTGAAATGTTTTACGCTATTCGATCAGCTGAAACATGTGAATTAAATTATTGATCAAAACAAGAAAAATATTTATTTCTCAAATCTGAGTGTCAAATTTCAAATACAGTAAACAAAAATAGTCTGTGCTTTTCTACGATAAATAACCCCAGAGATGAGAAAAGACTATTCACTTTAAAGAAGTCTAAACAAGAACAACTCAAAAATAAGTACAGCATGGATTCTTTAGCTTTTCCTATTTCTTTATACCACATAGGCCTACCATAATTTTGACATACCAACCGACCATTCTATATATTTAAGAATGCGTCTTCAAATATCACCTCATTCTTTTCTTTACTACAGGTTTCAATGAATGGTTATATTGTGTCCAATTTGTTACTGGTCGACAGGAAACGGTTTATATAACTTTTGATTCGGTTCTTTACCGAGGAACGTAGAACGCGCTGTTGTATCCATTAGAGTTTTTTAAACTCATTTTAGCCCTTTAGGTTCGTTAGCACATAAACCCACGCTAAAAAGAACTCTATTATTATGAGACGTAGGAATTGGCTAACTCAGGAACTCGCTAACTTGGTCGAGTGTCGAAACTGGCTAACTCTGGAACTGGCTAACCGTCTCAGTCAGGAATTGGCTAACTCCGGAACCCGCTAACTTGATTTTGTCTCGCGGCGGAATTCGCTAACTCTGGAAGTCGCTAACCCGGCCGCACCCACTGCACGGAGCGTTGCCAACCTTGTACAACAAAATGGTACTCTGCCGTATTTCAAAATGTCAGTGTCAATGAAGATACAGTAAATGTTATTGTTTTTTGTTATCAATTCCACTTTTAACAGATAACTAGCCCAAAGTAATTCAAAGACAATTAAAAAATCATGAAAAAGTGTTTTTTTTTTTACTGTACAATGGCCAGTTAAATGTTTATGATTTCGATCTACACGCAAGTTCTCAAACACGGAAAACAAATTTAATCGAAATGTCGTAATAAACCAAAACCATTAATTAATACAGGACATCAACCATCGTGACATTCATAACCAATTCATAGATTTAAAATTACATGCTCGTCGTTGAACCGTCCCAACTTACGTGTACAAATATAATGACATAGACTAAGTTTTTATCTAGGCCTAATAGTTTAAACCAAAGCATTGTAGGCCTACTAGTAAATAGTTGCCTAATTCTAAAATGTGTTGAATTTTTTAGCAATAACGTTACATGTTTTAAAACAGTTTTTAGATTGTACACCACTAGTAGCACCACTACTAGCACCACTAGTAAATAATAGAAGAGGATATAATATTCCTATGATAAAACGTGACAGGGTTATTTTAATTCACGATTCTTAATTGACGGATTTTCCTGATTTGAGTGTTGGGTTTCCTTTATATTGCTTTCACAATCAATATAAACTATACCAAGCCATTGCTCAGTTCATCGTTCCCCGGTACTGAGCTACACAATAGACAATAGCTTTGTTTTTGGATAAGATCAAGTAATTTTAGCTATGGCCACCATTCATAAGAATTGTAACAAACAAGAACGCCTGGGTCCATTTAGAACCAGCCTGGAGAAAAACTCCAGAGTTTTAAAAAGTAGGCCTACTGAAAGACGTAAAATTAATATTAATTAACTCAACTTATTAATTATTAATATTATCAACTTTCTCGTCCCTCAAAACACTTGCACTGGTTGTTGTCGAAGCCATAATAATAAAAATTACACACAAATAATAATACTAATCATAATAACAATAATAATACACATGATAACAACACACTCGACTGTCAGACAGACAGACTTTTTAGTCGTCAGTGTGCGCGTTCAAACTTATCTCCATGCCTTTATGAATACGACACGACAGTTGAGTCGGGGAGTAGTCGGCGGGAAAATCGGTCAGCACCAAACTGCCTTGACTGTCTGCAGACAGTCTGTCGACTGTCTTGCTGGGGTCGGCCCGTGTGCGCGTTTAGATTTATCACTATGGGGCCGACTTTGACTCCCGACTACGACTAAATAGTCGGCCGACAAAAAGTCTCTCGTGTGCGGTAGGCCTTATGGATCAGCTGAAGACAGTTTTATTGAACTAGTTCTGTCCGGTGCACTGTCTTTAGAGGTCGTGTTTTGTTTACAATTGTTTCTCGTTTTCAGTCATTTAAAACCTCGTTTAACCAAACAAAACGTTCTAATCACAACTAATAACACGTCCCCTGGTTATATAACCGAACAGTAAATAACAAATCATGAAGTTAACTATAAAATAATAGAAATACAATTTTGTCGACACTTATCGACTACGTTGCTCTTACTCCTAATTAATCGTAGGATACGACATTATGGTACCGATACGATATAAATACTAGACTTTCGGCAACACTGGCCAAAAATATTCGTGCTTGGCTCCCAATGGACCCGCGAGGCTTCTGATTGGGAGTTAGCGAGTTCCGCCGATGGACCGAGTTGGCGACTTCCGTACGAGGACGGAATTCGCTAACCCGGCTCTAGAGCGGGTTAGCGGGTTCCGGAGTTAGCAAGTTCCTATCATCGACCAAATTTGAAGATAGGACGTTTAACATGGGGTTAGCGAGTTTCAGAGTTAGCCAATTCCGCGGACCCATTATTATGTTGATGAGAGACCTAAGCATTATCCAAGACTGGTTGTAGCTAACTTGGGCACATACACTATCAAAGCGAACAGTGGCGTAACAGAAGGGCCCGCAATGTGGGGGGGGGGCCGCAAAACTGCTAGCGGAAACCGGCGAGAATAGAGGCCCGTGAGACGAGTGGGGCCGAAAAATTGGAGTTCATTCTTATTGAAATGTAGTATCAATCATTCAATAATTGTATTGAACAAGTAATAACATTAATACAAACAAACATTTACAAACAACATTTACTGACTTGGTTGAAATGAAATATTTACTATTTGAATTTGGGTTGGCGTAAATATTATAAAGGAAAAAAGTGAGAGAGCCTGGATTGATGTACAAAAAAGAAAACTGATAGACCTAAAGACTGAATTAACACTGTGCTGCATTTCTTAGTAATTTTAATCATCGAAAGAGCCAATTTGCAAACTATGGAAACATAAGTCAAAGAACACCTCAAAGGAGAAGAAATAGAAATAATGATATTTTTTAGAATTTATAATCGTTATTATGGACAACCTAATGAGGCTATGAGTAGGCCTAAGGCTAATTTTGAAAAACACTATAAAAACAAGACCAGCTTTTGAAAAATGATAAGATATATACAAGAAATGTTGATTATATCTATCTGTTACATACATCTTGAGTATTTCCATAATCTTTGAGTCAAATATTTTAAAGTCATCAGAAATTATGAGTGTTATTCGTTTTAAAATAACGCCTGTAATACTTAGCAATTGCTCGAATTCGAGCAACAGGTAAACTAGTATATACTTATATGGCAATACAATCAGGTGATTTTTGTTTGCAATCTGGGTGACGTCAGCATATTACAGGAATAGCACACCTATGTTTTCAGTTTAGTGTATAATGACTACGCACCTGATGTTGGAGTTATCTCCGAAACGGCCGTAGTGCTAAATCAACAGAATTGCGAAGACTGTAAGTAGCCTTTATATGCAATAGGCTATTTTAGCCTGTGATAAAAGTACGTCAATCTTCAAAATTAACCAGCTTTGAGTGTATGAGTTACGCTCCTTTCACACTATACAATCTCGCTCGTGCGGTTATTAATCATATTTGTAGTCGACCACTGGAGCTTATGGCCCCTTTCACATTATAGGATCACCAACCGTGTACGATTTTCACCCGCATAGCGACCGTAGGTGCACATGGTTGGTATCAGACTCCCACACAATTAAATAATCGTGTCTACTGCTAGTGGACCATGTGACTATAGGGCCCCTTTCACACTACACGATTTTTTAGTCGTACGAGAGCCCTCCATACAACTTAACACTTTCCACTGAAGTGTCAATGAACTCTGTTCTGCTGGAGTGTGGGTTAAGATTCTTAATCGTACGATTGCAAATTGTATAGTGTGAAAGCAACATACCTATGATCATCTGCCCGCACGATTAACACTTGTACGAGCGATCGTATAGTGTGAAAGGAGCGTTGGCCTAATTATAACCATCAATAAAAACTAACCGAATAAATAATTGAAAACATGTGTAGTAAATTAAATATAACACCTCCTTTGAAATGAAACATATTAAGGTATTTTTATTTTATTTGAAAACTT